GGCGCAGGCGCTTCGTGGCTTCCACCCGGCTCCAGCCTTCCAAAACGCGGCCACTGGACAGGCGAAGAGGGGGCTGAAGGGCGGTAGCGGGGGATGCTCCCGGGAGGCGGGGCGCGATTCCACTTCCTAGCGCGAGGACCGACCGGGCTGTTCTGGGGGGTGAGGGGGGGTCTCGCCAGGGCTGCTGTCGATGCACGGGAAGGACCAGTCAGAAAGCAGACCGGTCGAGGCTGCAGTGTCTGCTCTGGTTACATCTGTGCCTGTTCTGTTTGGAAAAACCTGCCCAGATGGAACATGGAGCCTCCAAAAAGAGGCAATATCTGGAAAAACTCAGGTGACCGACCGGGCTGTTCTGGGGGGTGAGGGGGGGTCTCGCCAGGGCTGCTGTCGATGCACGGGAAGGACCAGTCAGAAAGCAGACCGGTCGAGGCTGCAGTGTCTGCTCTGGTTACATCTGTGCCTGTTCTGTTTGGAAAAACCTGCCCAGATGGAACATGGAGCCTCCAAAAAGAGGCAATATCTGGAAAAACTCAGGTGTTTGGTAATCTTATCATTGCCCTGCAGAAAGCCTGGCTCTCTTGCCCTCCCCCCCCCCATCTCCTGGGAGTCCTGGCCATGACAGATGATGTCTCCCACCTTGAAGGCAGGGCGGGTGGTGTCTGTTCTCACTTGGTGTCTTGAAGAAGCTTGTTTCTGAATTGCTGAGACAGCACGTTTCTTGCACTGACCCTTTATCTGCCAACATGGAGCTTGCTGTCGTTGCAATCTTGTCTGTGTGGGTATCAATCAGTGAGATGTGGATTGTTGGTTGGTATGTAGAAAGGCCTTTTCACATGAGCAAGTAGGCTTCACTGTGCCCTGCACTGGATCCCTGGTAAACCAAATGGGCTTTTCACTGGGTTGTTTCTCACAAATAATAGTGTGTGAGATATGTCAGAATGAATGAGTTTTGGAAATAGCAACAGCTGGTGTGTGGATTTAACATGAAAGGAAGCAATTTATATGGAAACAGTCACTTTGGTAGTGTGTTGGCACTGAACTGACATACCTCTGCTTTCAAGACAGAATAAACACTATTAATGGAATTGTATAAATATTATTAGGGAGACTAGAACATTGCATTGGATTAAAAATTGTTAAAATAATCTAGAAGGGTTTTGGCCAAACTTGCAGACCAAAGAATTTCAGGGATTTTGAACACTGAAATTCACACAGCCCTACATTTGTTTGAATGCTTCAGATTCATTTAGTTTTGGTTGTTTTCACTAACTACTTCATATCTATCAGGAACATGTTTGACAAACCGAACAGGGATGCTTTTCAAGTGGTTGTGCACTTCTTGTTGACTAAACTGGATCACTCACGCTCAATGGATGTCTTCCGGTACGCACAATTTTTGTGTAACCAATAACCATGTTCTGTAAATACTCAGTAGGAATAATCTTTGGGGTAAAGGTAATGCCTTTGGAGAATGTGTTACAAAAATCACTTACAATACATAATCTGTGTAGGATTCTCACACTTAAATTTCAGTTTTTAATGCACGACAGACAATTTACCTACATAAGATTTTTACAGCAGTTGTCGTAACAGACAATTTTGAGGAAGTTTTCATAGTGATGGCAAAAGGCACATCTCTTCACCCCCTAGTTTTGGGGCAGGAAATTCTTGCAGGGGGAGGGCACGCGAAGAATTTTAGTAAGTGGTAATGGGAAGCATTTTTCTGTGTTATTAATGGAGGCGGAGTGGAATCAGGCATGAAGTTTGGGTGCAGAAGGGAGCTTGTGGCAGGGATTGGGGTTCAGGAGGAGATGCAAGGTCTGGCCAGGAGTCTAGGTACAGGAGGGGGTTCTGACCTGCAGTAGAGGTTGGAGTGCAGGAAGGTGTATCAGGTACAGGTTCTGACTGGGAGATACCAGCACAGTGGGCAAGCAGGCTGACTGCATGCCATAAAGGTTCCATGCTGCTCAAAGCTGTAGGGGGCAACAGGTCTCCTTGTGCTGCCTCTCCCAAAGCACCATCCAAACTGATCAATAGGAGCTATGAGGCTGGAGGAGGGGGCAGGCAGTGTGCAGAGACCTGCTGTCCTGTGTTTTCCCCAACAGGTGTGCAGAGACACAGTTGACAGCAACCTCTGGTCATGGGCTTCTAGGAGCAGTGTGATTGGGGCTATGGCAGGCAGGCAGGTTGCCTGAGTGCCTTGCTGGGCTAGAGCACACTTTTCCTCTGGACCTAGCTCAGAGGGACATGGTGAGCCAGAGGAAAATGTTTAGCAGGCCCTGTTACTTAAAATTTCACTAGAGCAGGGGTTGGCTGTATCAGCTTCAAGTCATAGAATTCTCTCATTAAAATGACTAAGCATTTTTTTTAATCACAGGCCAAAGACTTTTCCTTAATTTGGTTGTCAGGCAACGTATTTTATTAGAAACTTTATTTAAAAAAAAAAATCTGTCTAAAGCAGACACCTTTAAAGTATTTTATTAGAAACTTTATTTTAAAGCAGACACCTTTAACTTTAACTTAAGCTGCTGGGCAAATTTATAAGTTGGAAATAGGGCAGCTTTAACTGTAGGTGGCACTACCAGCTCTCCCTGTAATGTATTAACGATGAATCTTTATAGCAAAAATCTGTGCAAGTGAATAGTTTTCACTGCTAGTCATTTTAGCAAACTTCCAGGTATCCTTTAATCATAGTTTTGAGTACCATTACCTCTCCCCTCCTTTATCTCCCTCATAAAAAGAATCACTACACACCTTTGCATTTTTCGTCTGTATACTTAAACTAAGAGGTAAACTAGATTATATTACAAATGTACTGAAACCGACTCTTCTTCTTTTGAAATGGGAAGATCTTGCTGCCCTCCGCTGGATAAAAAGGGAGATACTGAATTCAGGAGGCAATGCTGTGAATGGCTAAAAGAAATTTCAGTAAGTATTGGCAGGAATGAGATGATCATTGCAGTGGATTTTTGTCTGTCTAGAGTGCCACATGTGTAAGTAGCATTTTAGATTATTAAACAAAGCACCTGCCACAAAGAACCTAACTTCCCCAAGTACAATATGGCATAGGTATATATTTTTTTTTAGAACGAGTTGAACTAAAAGTTACAATATGGAATGCTAAAGCCGAGGACTGTAAAGAAAATGATAAATTTGGGCTTCATGGGTGCAAAAAGCTATAGCCCTACATAGGGATGTTAAATTTTGATTAATCAGCTAATTGAGTAGTTGATGGAATTTCCATTGACTAGTTGATAAAGGGCAATTATCAACTGCATTTGCCATCCGGTGGGGCATTTGCTATCCTGGCTGCACCTCTGCCTTTTTAATATAGTAAGAGCCGTTCTCGCCCCAGGTTCCCGCTGCACCACTTCTGCCTTTAAAATGCCATTTGAAAGGCAGAGGCACAGCAGTCAGACTGGCTCATGACATTTCCCGCTTCGCCTCTGCCTCCCTTGCCATCCTCCTGCTGCAGAGATGGTGCTGGGGGAACCGGCTTTTAAGCCAGCTCCTACTGCCCCCCCTTTCCCCTCGCTGTGTCTGATACAGAGGCAAGAAGGGGAGAGAAAGTGACAAGTGGAATAGTGACTTGACTATCCAATAAGCCTGTGCTTATCGGCCAGTCGACTGGTTGCTTATATCCCTAGCCACACACTTAGTTTTTTGTGTGTCATTCATCAGACAAATCTGTTGGTGAACAGATTTTCTTAAAGGGTAAGGTGGGAACAGTTTATTTCAACATAAGTAATGTATATTCCCATTTATGTACAGCTATTGTAGAAGACATTGACACTGAGAATGCAATTTGACTGCTATAAGAAACTTCTCAGGTGTAGAATATTAGTCTGTTTTAGGTAAGGGCAAAGCTTTTGAAGTTTAATCAAGCTTCTTGAATAGAAATGATAAATAGGCTCCAAGCTAAATCAGTTTCCTCACTGTATCCTGGGTCTTTCCACTGCCATAACTTGTGTCTACATGAGGTTTGTAAAGCATGGCCTTCAGGCTTGGAGGGTTTCTATCATGCCACAAGATGCTAACCCCTTTCTTTAATGGCTACTATGCAAAATTATGGAAGAAAAGGTTAAAGTACAGTGAGTGCCTTTGTCATGCAAAATAAAAAAGAAATTGTGACTAAGGGTGTGTCTAGACTACAGGGCTTTTTTAAATTTTTTTAATGGCCTTTTTTCAAAAAAAATTCCCCTGCGTCTAGACTGCTGCCACGTTCTTTTGAAAGTAAATTGAAAACGCGGCAGTTTTTTTCGACTGCGGAAAAACCTTGTTTCCCTATCTTGTACGTAACCCGGGGACTGGCTGTAATGCAAACTGTGCTTTTTCAAAAGAGCATCCAGACTGCCTGGGTGCTCTTTCGAAAAAGTGGCTTACTTTCGAAAAAGAACATCTAGACTACAACCAGTATTTTTTAAAAAGCATCTTTCGAAAAAGCTTCTTTTGAAAGAGGCTTGCAGTCTAGACATAGCCTAAGGTATTTTCCAGTACGCAGTGTAATTGTAATAGAGCAATTACCTGTCGGGGTAGGAAGGCGGTTAGGCTTCCTCTGCTGTCCTGTCGTATCCATAGTTAATCCCAACTATAGTCTGGGGGTGGAGAGGGGTGTGTGTGGAAATGTTCCTATCCTGGAGATACAGACAGGGGATCCAAACTTTTGTGAAATTAGCGTGTCTCAACTGTGTACTCTTTACAACACACAGACTGGATTTGCTTCAAAGTTTTGTTGGAGGGTTTATCTCTTCACCCCTCCCACTTTTTTTGGTTTCTCTCACTTGAATAGAGAACCAAAGTCCGGAGTTGCAAACAATTTGATATTTATTGGGGTCCGCTTCCAACAAGCATGAATCCAGTTTCCCCCTTCTCCCCCTTCTTCCTTATTCCCTTGTTTTTACCACTCCCACCTTCTTCCTTATTCCCTTGTTTTTACCACTTACTTCCTCTTTGTCCGCAAAATATACAGTAATATTCTCTACTATATTCTCAATTATTCTACTGAAATGTAACTATCAACTCCTAAACTAAAGTGAGAATTGTAAACCAATTAAGGTGGGATATACACAACAAAATTATTTTTGCCTGCTGTATAATTCTGCAGAGGCAATGCAAATAAACAATAGAGAGATGGGGTGTGGGGGTGGGAGAGAGAGAACAAAATGAAGATTTCACCATCCCAAGTTTTAAATGGGTCCTTGCCAGATAAAGCTATCAGCCTTAGCTTTCTTTCAATCTTATAGGCTCTTCCTTTTTATCTGGAGGCAATATATTGAATCCTCTAACAGCCCCAAATTGTCTTATTCCAAACCTGTCATATTGAAATATGTCAGAGTTTAACAATATCTTTCTGGATGCCCATGTTGCTTAGCCAAAAGCCTTAGCCAAAAAGCATGGTCTCAAACTATCATACAGGTAGACTGTGATTTTGATACTTTGTTTTGTATACCTCTGTAAGAATACATCTAAATTCTTAACCTATAGGCCTTATACACAGGCCTAAATATCAATATCCTATCACTATGTAGCAGCTAAAGACCTTTATCCCATTACCATGTTCTTGTATGGAATTAAATGTGTGTTAGTTTTTGCTTTGACAGTCACTTTTTGGGAGAATGTATTAATAGTAACTAATTTCATTTCCTTAGGATGAATGTGGAAACAACTTTCCCCCAGTTGTAGCCTCACTATTTCTTAGTCCTGGTGGTCCCAAATTTATTCATCTAATGTATCATTTTGCAAGACATGTAATGGTACAAGATATGAAAACAGACTGTGAAGGTAAATTTTGTCTCTGTTTAAACTGGATCAAATACTGTGAATGAAGCAAACAAAAATGTGAAACTACTCAAGGCTTAATCTGTTATAAAAATCTTTAAAGATGTTGATCCACATCTTCGTTGGATCTTGGGATGGAATGGGTTCAGATTTGGTCTCTCTTTTTTTAGACATGTTTTCAGTTATACTATGAGGCAGTAATACTAATTTTATTTGGAGGTTGACTTATCTAATCTTTTTCTGGTACCTAAGAAAAAACACTTGCCTGGATCTTGCTGCTAAAAGTTATGTTCATGTTCTTGTGCCATGTAATTTGTTACAGGAATGGCATCCATTTAGAGCTTCAAGGGTTTATTGTAAATGGAGAACTGGTAATTGGGTGATAAAGGTTTAGCAATAAAGGTGTGTAAGGTTCTAAGCGAGACGTTGGGAATAATTTTTGGTGGTGGTGGGGCACTTTTTTTATGGAGGCAGTGCAGAGTCTAGGCCAGAGGTTGGCTGCAGAAGGGAGATTTGGGTAGGAGAATAAAGGGTGTGGTGTCTGAGAGAGAGTTCTGATCTGGGGCTTAGGATGCAGAAACTAGGAGGGGGTACGGGTGCAGGAGAGGATTCTAGCCTGAGGGAAGAGTGGAGTAGGGAATTCAGGGATTGGGAGGGAGCTGTGACCTGAGGGAAAGGGGTGCAAAGGGTTTGGGTGGTGACCTGGGGCAGGAGGGGTTGGAGGCCTGCAGCAGGGAGTTGAGGGAAGGAGGTTCTGTCTGGGAGGTGCTTACCAAGGAAGCTCCAAACCAGCAGCCCTGTAGGTCCCTGAAGCAGGCTCCCTGCCTGTTGCAGTCCCAGGCTGTTCAAAACGACTGGCTGCTCCCTGTGGGTTTCTGCTTCAGGTGTTTGGTTGCAGAGGGAGGCTTTGAGTGCTGCTCCTGCCCCCTAGCAAAATCTTTTGGCTCCTATTGACTGGAAATCGGCCAATGGGAGCTGAGTGTTTCTAAGGAGGACGGGCGAGGGCAGCACACAGCCTTTCTTTTGGCGACTCCAGTTGTCGGAGTGTCAATAGCACTAGCCGATGTAGTTTTTTTCAACAGAGGCAAATTACATACGTTGGGAAACTAACACAATGGGACACAGAATATCCCACAAGTTCTTGGACAGCATTGGAGACCATTTTTTATTTTAGAAGGTTGAGAAAGGCACAACAGGGGAAGCTGTTGTAGATTTAATATTAACAAATAGGGAGGAACAGGTTGAAAATTTAAAAGTGGAAGGCAGTTGGGTGAAAGTGGAAAAACTGCCAACTGTCTTCAGTTGTTTTTCTTCTTAGTCTTGCTTCCCATGGGACCTTGCCTACCAGCTCTGAGTTTACTAAAGTCTGCCTGCCTGAAATCCAACAGCTACATATTTCTGTGTGATATCAATATCCATGTCATACAAGGTGGTTTTTTCAGCGACATGATGGGTTCTAATGAAATTAATCCCATCCGCAACCTGCATAAAAAGACATGCAAACCAGACAATAAAATAAAATAAAAGCACACTGCTTCTTGTAACATAAAAAGTATGCTAAGAGACCACCTTGGTTTAACCAGGAGATCTTAGATGATCTAAAAATCAAAAAGGAGTTGTATAAAAGCGGAAACCAGGTCAAATTACAAATGATGAATATAAGCAAATAACACAAGTATATAGGGGCAAGATTAGAAAGGCAAAGGCACAAAACGAACTCAATCTAGCTAGAGACATAAAGGGTAACAGGGGAGGAGAGACAACTTGGAAATAGCAGACCTGCTTAATGACTTCTTTATTTTGGTTTTCACCCAGAACATTGATGGTGATTGGATGCCTAACATAGTGAATGGTAGTGGAAATGGGGTAGGTTGAACTTTAAAAAAAACTTAGAAAAGTTAGATTACATCAGGCCCTGGTGACTTGAAGACATGCATCATAGAATACTCAAGGAGCTGATAGAGGAGGTATCGGAATCATTAGCAGTCCTCTTTGAAAAGACATGGAAGTTGGGAGAAATTTCAGAATACTAGAAAAGGGCAAATATCGTTCCCATCTATAAAAAGGGAAATAAGAACAGCCCAGGAAACTACAGACCAGTCAGTTTAACTTCTGTGCCAGGAAAGATAATGGAGCAAATAATTTAGGAATTCATCTGGAAGATAAAACGACAGGTAACAGCCAGCATGGATTTGTAAAGAACAAAGCATGTCAAATCAATCTGATAGAATAACAAATCTTGTGGCTAAGGGGGAAGCAGTGGGCATGGTATTACCTAGACATTAGTAAAGCATTTGGTACAGTCGTTCATGACCATCTTATCAATAAACAAATGAAATACAACTTAATGGGGCTACTATAAGGTGAGTGCATAAATGGCTGGATAGCAGTTCTCAAAGAAGTCACTAATGATTCACAGTCATGAAGGAAGGGCACAATAAATGATGTTCTACAGGGTTCAATTTTGAGACAGATTCTGTTCAATATCTTCATCAATGATTTAGACATTGGCATAAAAGTATACTTATTAAGGGTGCCGATAATACTAGCGATGTAATTGTATAGGTGATTAACCTATAAGCAAAAGTCTACAGGTTAATACTATAGACTATACAAATTTCCCCCACCAGTAAATTTTTTAGCAGGCTGGCTAGAAGCCTGTCTCAGTTCTGGCTTGCCACAGGTCTGGGACCTACCCTCTTTGCATGCTGCATTTAAAGTGACCTCTGATGATAGGACAAGAACCAGTGGGCTTAAATTGCAGCAAGGAAGATTTTAGATTGGATGTTAACCGCCCTGACAGGAAGATGGCTACTAACTTACATCCCTAGATTAGACAGGCATCTGTCAGGGATGATCTAGATCAGGGCTGCTCAACTTGAAGCCCCAGGGGGCCACAATGATACTCACAGCACATACCGAGGGCTGCAACTTAAGGTGTGGTTGTGTGTATATATATGCAAATAGCTTCTTTCACACTGACTGGCATAAATACAAAAATTAAGCCTTAAGCTGCAGTGCTGGACCTAAACGTGCCCAGTGTAAGCCAGTCAGCGCCTCTTAGGCTCTGTCCAAAAGGCTAAGCATGGATCTGCTGGACCATGGATGTTGCCAAACCAGAGAGTCCCAGTTCAGAAAGGTACAACCTGTATTAAAATTGACTAAGTTGGGGTTTTGGAGCAAATTTAGTCAAACAACCAAATTACCCCTCTGTTATATGCTGGCCGAATAGAGGAACAAGTTTCTTCATGCTCTTATGAGAGACTTAAAAAACAACAAATAGTTTAGTAGCACCTTTAAGACTAACAAAACATGTAGATGGTATCATGAGCTTTCATGGGCATAGCCCACTTCTTCAGATGACAGGAATGTTGGAAGTCCAGATCCAAGAATAAATAGGGAAGGTGGGAATGGAGGGGAGGAAGAAAGAGAGACAGAGTAGATAAGCTTCAGAGGGGTAGCTGAGTTAGTCTGTAACAGGAAAAACTTAAAAAACAACAAATAGTCTAGTAGTACATTAAAGACTAAATAGTTACAAGAGACTGATAAGAACCATTAGTTTGCACTTGGGAAGGAAGATGACCAGCACTAGATTCTACACAGACATCAAGAACCATTAGCACTTTCGTTGGTTGATAATGTGCGAGCCATCCAATATCCTGATCCATACTATTTGCATAAGAATTAAACTTGTGAATGAAGTTATCTACTCACTGTCTTTCTTTTTTTTTCTTCCTTCCCTCCATTCCCCCCCGCCCCTTCCCTTATTTATTCTTGGATCTGGACTTCCAATCCTCTTGTCATCTGAAGAAGTGGGCTGAGCCCACCAAAGCTCATTATATCAGCTACATATTTTGTTAGTCTTTAAGGTGCTACTATACTATTTGTTGTTTAAATTTTTCTTGTTACAGACTAACTCGGCTACCCCTCTGAAGCTTATGAGAGACTGTTAGTGTTTCTTAACCTGGTTGTGAGGAGACATGTAGTCCAATAAGCATAGTGGCAGGAAAGGTTATATCTACATAGCAAAGTGAGTAATGCTGTTGTAAATTTCTAAGTCTGGATTGACAGGTTTGGGATTGCATTACTACTAAAAATAGCAGTCTAGATGTTTCAAGTTGGGCCCTAAAATGTAGAGAAGAGGTTGGGATTCAGAGCCCCAGGCCAAACATCTTTACAGTTACTTTTAGTGGGGTAGCATGAGTCTGAAGACCAGGATTCTGAGTCTCATTACTGCAGTTTTCTTACCCTTTAAATCTACCCTCTTGTTACAGTTGTGCGGGGAGGGAAAGGTGCATGACAAACTAGTTGTCGTCCTTCTCCTCATCTCATTGCAAAAGTGCTTATGCAGCTGCAAATAAGTCAGCAGGCAAAGTTTTAAAATCTGCCTTTCCATCTGTGCTCCTGTAGTGGTCATTGCTGCAGGAACAGCTTTTCTGCCCAAGTTAATCTTCTCTGTTCTCATGGCACTCTTCATAGAGGTGAGCCACATGTGCTATCAGTGGTTCCTAACCTTTTTTTATACTGTGAACCAGCAAACCCATTCACAAACTCTTGGCAGACTGGTAACATCCCCTCCATGCCAGCCCCCCACCATCAGACTCCCTCCTCTTCCCCCCACCCTGTGCCAGCCTCCTATTTTTAGAGTGCCAGTGCCAGCCCCAGTCCCCAATATTAGCCATGCCCTCAGAGCCCCTGTGCCAGCCCTGCCTCCAGACCCCCCTAGTATTAGTTTTGCTCCATGAGCCCCCAGCACCTGCCCCACTCCTCCCCCTTCCCTAGCCCTGTGCTGCCTCCCTGCTGTCAGCTGAGCGCTGCTGCTTGAGTTGCAGCTGCTCTAAGGCTGCTGTGCTGGACTCCGCATGGCCCTCCTGCTGCGGAGTGAACTGCTCTTCCATGTCCAGGAGGTTACCCTGTCCCTTCTTGGCGCTGGTTGGCTGAGGCGCAGGGCAGGACACATGGTAGGAGGGTAGGCACTAGTTGTATAACCTGGCCCTAGCCCCCAGAATCACCAAGGCCTGGCAGCCACCAGTTCGTGGACCGGCAGTTGGGAACCACTGTGCTATGGAGTCCCCAAGGAGTAATTTTACTCCTCTCAAAGGAGCATGTAGTCTTCTGGTGAGATGGTCAGGAAAAAGTGTAGAAAGAATAAATATAGCCTGAAAGCGGGAGGAGGAGGAGAAGAGAAATGGATAAAAGTGACTCGGAGCCCTATATGTTGATACATTCCATCTAAACAAATGGGAATCTCTGTCTTATAATTGTTGCTTAATTTAAATCACCTAAATTAGAAACATGTCTTATTTCCTACAATTTAATGGCACATTTTGAACTTTCTATTTAACTGATCTTTATAGGCACCAATATACGTTTTCCAGAAGCTGTGAATTCAAGGCCTCGTAACTCATATGAGGCAGCAGCAAGATACAGAGTGGTGTTTAATAGGTTTTTACAGATTACACAAAAAGAAGACTTTATAATTCGAGAGTACCAGAGAAAAGTAAAGTAAGTAACTCTTGTGGGAGTGGATATATGACTATCTTGTTTTAAAAAATTATTTATATACATGGCAATAGATATACCTCCAGCTTAAAAACATTTTTATAAATGTCTTGCCTAATTGTGGCAAAATAGTGCTTTTCTTGGCAAGAGATAGAACAGTACCTCTTGGCCCCCGTTTTTGTGATACTTAGGTCCCTGCTAGTGATGCAAGAAGATGGTAGAGAAGGGAAGTTGTCTGAGCCCTAGCCCCTTCCAAGCGCTGCAGGTAAATTCCCCTTGGTCCTTGATGGGCTAAGGCTGTGGTCACCAACCAGTAGATCGCGAGCTACCAGTAGATCTCAGGGGCTCTTGAGCCCTCTCTGAACTGCACGCCTGTGTAGTACATTTACATTAGATTTCCTCATTTGAGGAGCAGCTACTCACCGAGTAACAACACAGGTGAGTGGCTGCGAGGAATGGTGGGAGCTGGGAGGTCGGGAGGGCTGAAACACCCCAGCCAGCTGATTGTGGCTTTCAGCTGAAAGAGGCTGCCCCGCGCTCCAGCTGATCGGCGGCTTCTCCTCTGTGCCTGCCCACGTGGAGCTTGGTGCACCCTGGCTGAGCACCATGGCCAGCTGGCCAGGCAGCTACTTCTCTTACCTCCAGCCTGGCTGCTCTGCGCTCAGCCCAGGGAGGCTGCATCTAGCTCCAGCTGTGCTGGGGCA